AATCCACAATGATAAATGACATACAAGCAGAGAAAAAAAAAACAGCAAAAACAATACAATGCACACCAGGCTAGATTCTGAAATTCCCCAACTCAAGCTGGGAATACACCACAGTGCCTTGAAAAAGTATTCATACCCCTTGAAATTTTCCACATTTTGTCATGTTACAACCAAAAATGTATATGTGGTTTTTTTTGGATTTTATGTGATAGACCAACACAAAGTGCCACATAATTGTGAAGTGGAAGGAAAATCATAAATGGTTTTCAACATTTTTTCTTACAAATAAATATGTGAAAAGTGTGGTGTGCATTTGTATTCAGCCCCCCAGAGTCAATACTTTGTAGAACAACCTTTCTTTGCAATTACAGCTGCAAGTCTTTTTGGGGATGTCTCTATCAGCTTTGTACATCTAGAGAGTGAAATTTTTGCCCATTCTTCTTTGCAAAATAGCTCAATCTCTGTCAGATTGGATGGAGAGCGTCTGTGAACAGCAATTTTCAAGTCTTGCCACAGATTCTCAATTGGATTTAGGTGTGGACTTTGACTGGACCATTCTAACACATAAATATGCTTTGATCTAAACCATTCCATTGTAGGTCTGGCTGTATGTTTAGTGTTGTTGTCCTGCTGGAAGGTGAACCTACGCCCCAGTCCCAAGTCTTTTTGCAGACTCTTAACAGGTTTTCTTCCAAGATTGCCCTGTATTTGGCTCCATCCATCTTCCCATCAACTCTGACCAGCTTCCCTGTCCCTGCTGAAGAAAAGCATCGCCACAAAACGATGCTGCCACCACCATGTTTCACGGTGGGGATTGTGTGTTCAGGGTGATGTGCAGTGTTAGTTTTTTGCCACACAGAGCGTTTTGCTATTGGGCCAAAAAGTAAAATTTTGGTCTCATCTGATCAGAGCCTCTTCTTCCACATGTTTGCTGTGTCCCCCATACGGCTTATTGCAATCTGCAAATGGGACTTCTTATGGCTTTCTTTCAACAATGGCTTTCTTCTTGCCACTCTTCCATAAAGGCCACATTTATGGAGTGCACGACTAATAGTTGTCCTGTGGACAGATTCTCCCACCTGAGCTGTCGATCTCTGCAGCTCCTCCAGAGCTACCATGGGCTTCTTGGTTGCTTCTCTAATTAACCGCTTCCCATCTGCCCTGTAGCAGTAATTGCACAAAACTGTATATATATATATTTGTACACAAACATACACACACACACGATTTTCCGGGCAGAGGGCCACCATTCACGGTCACAGCTGTCAATCACAGGGTCCCGGCTGGTGATTACTCTCTGGCGCTCGGTGATTGCCAAGGATCTGCGACAGGGAGGAGAACTGTTTGTAAACAAAACAGTTCTCCTCCCTGTCAGCTCGTGCACACTGCTTGCATGGCTGTGCACAGCCATACAAAGCAGTGTGCTTACAGTGAAGCACAAACACACAGCCCCACAGTAAAACACACCCGGCACACATTTAACCCTTTGATCACCCCTCATGTTAACCCCTTCCTGCCCAGTGCCATTAATAGTGTCAGTATTTTTTTTTTTTTAGCACTGACCACTGTATCTGTGTCATTGGGGATGTCAGTTAGGGGTATCAGAGCGGGCTGAATACTAATGTACACCACACTTTTCAGATATTCATTTGTAAAAAATGTTGAAAACCATGTATAATTTTCCTTCCACTTCACAATTATGTGCCACTTTGTGTTGGTCTATCATATAAAATCCCAATAAAATACATTTACACTTTAGGTTGTAACATGACAAAATATGGAAAATTTCAAGGGGTATGCATACTTTTTCAAAGCGCTGTATGTAGAATTAAAAAAAAAATAAAAAATAAATTCAAATGTAGTTTCAAAATAGTTCAAGATTTTGTTTGCTTTTAACAATCGATTTTGGAAAGAATGGAGTTTATTGAATGAAAATCACATAAGCTGTTAGAAATTCATATATACGAGAAAATGTTTCCATCCTGTTCTTTCAAATTCTCTCGTCACAAAAACAAATGTTAATTTGACCCACTAATGATTAGAAAAATGAATGAACATCCTCACAATGAAATTTTACTAGTGTATACCCGGATTTACAGATGTCACACATCAGGAACGAGTTGCACGTCCTAAACACCCAATTGTCATACAACTATGTCATATGTAAACATACAACAACCCTGCTCCCATAGCATCCTCCAACATCCAACTGTCACCCTATGAAGTTCACCAAATCCCACCGCCATGGAGGCCGACAACACAAGTCACCCGGCACACTATGGAGACCGATGTAAAAGTCGTTATTAAAATGAGCGAACGGCTGAGCTGCGATCATTAGTATGAAAGGATGTCTGCCCGGGCAAGCAGGGGCTTGATGAAAAGAACATTTATTGAGCTGCCATGTCAGTGCAATGCTTTACTAGCCAACCTTGGGCATGAAAAGAGGTGTCATTAGCTGATCTCCTTGCCCAATAAAGAATACTGCAAGAAAAACAATAAAAGCAGTAAATGATGTTTAACTGCCTGAGAGGGAGTGTGCGAGGACCATGCCACAGCAGCTTGGTACAGCCTTCTATTCCCTAAGGGCTAGGTTCACATCTGTGTGTTTTCTAGTGTTTGCTGAAGTGCAGAAACAAACCACAATCCATTTAACATCATTTCCTATGGGTCCTGTTCACATTTATGCAGGTTCCTGCAGTGTGTTTTTTGGAAAGGAGTATCTAACGTGCAGGATGGTCAGTTTTTGGCTCCAAACACTTCAATGGAAGCGCATGAAAAATGAATTTGTGCATTTTTGGTAGGGTTTTGTGTTTAACAAGCGGTCTCCTACAAAAAAAAAGAAACCCATGAAGCATCAAAAACGTGCTGGAAAACGCACAAAAAACATTTTTAAAAAATGCGCCAACTGCACTGCGCAGATATCTAAGGAAGAGTTTCCAGCAGGTGCAGTTTTACATGCCACAAAAACGCAGTACAAATGCATACGCCAGAACAATGAATGTATTCCAATGGACCATGGCGGAGCTTCCATGTGGGTTTAAAGCCTCATTTGGCATGGGGTGATGACATGCGTGACCGATGCAGGGCCAGGTGTTCCCGGCAAGGTGTTCATTCCATTGTTGTGTACTGGACACCGAGCTGCACGGACACAGCCGCCAGTCCCAATATCACATCTATGGGAGTCCCTGAACCCTCCCTGTGTGTGCTCAGGGACCTGCACCCCCATGTCATACTGAGACACAGTGTGCAGCAACAATGGAACATCTGCATGGGAATGTATGAACACCTGTATGGGAATGTATGAACACCTGTATTTCTCTATCCCGCCCCGCACTGGTCACATGTCATCGCCCCGTATGAATGAGGCCTAATGAGTACAGCGGGCTGCATCTGTCTGCACCACACACACCGCCAATGGACAGGGATGTGTGTCCAGGAAACTTACCACAGAAAATACATTGAAATAAATGAATGATTGCAGGACACATGGAGGCACGCTGCAACCATGCATGCAGAAATGTGCAGTCAGCAGAGGTTGGGGTGAGCCTGTCTGTGGAGCCCCCCCATATGACATGGGGTACAGAGGAGGGAGAACCTCCACACAAGGTGTCAGTGCCCACAGGACAGCCAGGCACATGCGTGAGGAGAGGGGGGGGGTAATACTTGACAGCCCCCAACTTCTGAAAGTGTGTGTGAGCCCCCGCCGGGCCTCCCCCTGCACCGAGGAGCTGCCACCTCACTCCCCTCCCTACAGATATCGGAGAGAAACAAAGCTGTGCCCGAGCCGTGCCCGCTCCGGGGGGAGGGAGGGAGGAGGGGGGCCGTGCTTGCGGGGGGGGGGGCGCGGCGCGGGGAAGGCGCCTTTTTCTGGGTACGGAAACACGCGGACGGTGCACATTCGTACTCACGGTTTCAGGGGGTTGTGAATGACAGTCGCCATCTTGCTACAATGTAACAGAATATTGTCTGTCTCGGAGTTCTGAAGGTTCGATACGGGAGGGGGGTGGGGGGTGAGGGAACGGGCGAATCAGCGTGAGGGCTACCGGCGTCTCGGCCAATGGCGGCGGAGTGGGCGTGTCGTGGGAAGGGGTGTTCTGCGAGGTATTAGGGAGCTGTCAAAGCGGCAGAGGTCACTCCCTCGGGTGGCCGGACAAGGAGCAGAGAGGGGTGGGGGAGGAGGGACATGATTGGTGAGAAGGGGTTAAAGCAGTGCGGGCCCTGGGCGGGGGGGGCTGATCACAGTGCACTGGCCGCCCATCGTGACCAAGTGGCAGCGACTCGTCTGCTGTGTCCACGCTGGAGCGGAGCCAGCTCTTCAGAGCGCAGACTCTGCCCGGTCCCCGATGTTTATTCACAGAGCTGACACCGAACTTTCCTGTCTGTGGATTGTCTCCTCATCTCAGATACCGACCCCCTCCCTCCCCTCCGGTGTCCTCCCCGGGGCTCTCCGCTGATATATGACCCTCTCCTCCTCTGTCCCCCCCGCCCCCTCCGGTCAGGTCCAGTGTCAGCCCACATCCAGCTCCGACACAGTACGGGGAGGGGGGGAGGTCAGTGCACATGGGCAGCGGCAGAATGAGAGCCACTGACTGGCAGCCGGAGGGAGGGAGGGAGGTCCCCGCACACTGCGCTCTACCACCGTCCGGACTCCGCTTTCTGTACGGATAATCTCTATTGATTGTAATCAGGAAAAGTGTTCTGTATTACAGGAGAACTACAGGCACAACTTTGTATGTCCAATGTACATGGAGTACGTCTGGGGACGGCAACCCAGAGCCTGGCTGATGTGGGGGTGCAGTATAGGAGGTCAGGGGGCACCATATCACCCGGGTGACACATTCCGGAACCGCAACTTCCCCTTCATAACCTGGAAATAACATCTGACAGGGAGGGAGGGCAGAGGCACGCACGAGAGAACAGGGACCATGAGCATGTATTAGGATGATTAAACAATGTGTACCTCCTTACATCAACTGTCCCCAATCAGAGTCCTCCTTACATCAACTGCCCCCATCAGAGTCCCCCTTACATCAACTGCCCCCATCAGAGTGCCCCCTTACATCAACTGTCCCCATCAGAGTGCCCCCTTACATCAACTGTCCCCATCAGAGTGCCCCCTTACATCAACTGTCCCCATCAGAGTCCCCCTTACATCCACTGTCCCCATCAGAGTCCCCTTTACATCAACTGTCCCCATCAGAGTCCCCCTTACATCAACTGTCCCCATCAGAGTGTCCTCCTTACATCAACTGTCCCCATCAGAGTGTCCCCCTTACATCAACTGTCCCCATCAGAGTGTCCCCCTTACATCAACTGTCTCCATCAGAGTCCCCCTTACATCAACTGTCCCCATCAGAGTCCCATCAGAATGTCCCTTTACATCAACTGTCTCCATCAGAGTCCCCCTTACATCAACCGTCCCCATCAGAGTCCCCCTTACATCAACCGTCCCCATCACAACTGTCCCCATCAGAGTCACCCTTACATCAACTGTCTCCATCAGAGTCCCCCTTATATCAACTGTCCCCCATCAGAGTCCCCTTTACATCAACTGCCCCCATCAGAATGCCCCTTACATCTACTGTCCCCATCAGAGTCCCCCTTACATCAACTGTCCCCATCAGAGTCCCCCTTACATCCACTGTCCCCATCAGAGTGTCCCCTTACATCAACTGTCCCCATCAGAGTCCCCCTTACATCCACTGTCCCCATCAGAGTCCCCTTTACATCAACTGTCCCCATCAGAGTCACCCTTACATCAACTGCCCCCATCAGAGTGCCCCTTACATCAACTGTCCCCGTCAGAGTCACCCTTACATCAACTGTCCCCATCAGAGTGTCACCCTTACATCAACTGTCCCCATCAGAGTGTCCCCCTTACATCAACTGTCTCCATCAAAGTCCCCCTTACATCAACTGTCCCCATCAGAGTCCCATCAGAATGTCCCTTTACATCAACTGTCTCCATCAGAGTCCCCCTTACATCAACCGTCCCCATCAGAGTCACCCTTACATCAACCGTCCCCATCACAACTGTCCCCATCAGAGTCACCCTTACATCAACTGTCTCCATCAGAGTCCCCCTTACATCAACTGTCTCCATCAGAGTTCCCCTTACATCAACTGTCCCCATCAGAGTGTCCCTTTACATCAACTGTCTCCATCAGAGTCCCCCTTTCATCAACTGTCTCCATCAGAGACCCCCTTACATCAACTGCCTCCATCAGAGCCCCCCTTACACCAACTGTCCCCATCAGAGTCCTATCAGAGTCCCCCTTACCTCAACTGTCTCCATCAGAGTCCCCCTTACATCAACTGCCCCCATCAGAGTCCCCCTTACATCAACTGTCCCCATCAGAGTCCCCCTTACATCAACTGTCCCCATCAGAGTGCCCCTTACATCCACTGTCCCCATCAGAGTGTCCCCCTTAAATCAACTGTCCCCATCAGAGTGTCCCCCTTACATCCACTGTCCCCATCAGAGTGTCCCCCTTAAATCAACTGTCCCCATCAGAGTGTCCCCCTTACATCAACTGTCTCCATCAGAGTCCCCCTTACATCAACTGTCCCCATCAGAGTCCCATCAGAGTGTCCCTTTACATCAACTGTCTCCATCAGAGTCCCCCTTACATCAACCGTCCCCATCAGAGTCACCCTTACATCAACTGTCCCCATCAGAGTCACCGTTACATCAACTGTCTCCATCAGAGTCCCCCTTACATCAACTGTCCCCATCAGAGTGCCCCTCACATCAACTGTCTCCATCAGAGTCCCCCTTACATCAACTGTCCCCATCAGAGTCCCATCAGAGTGTCCCTTTACATCAACTGTCTCCATCAGAGTCCCCCTTACATCAACTGTCTCCATCAGAGTCCCCCTTACATCAACTGTCCCCATCAGAGTCCTATCAGAGTGTCCCTTTACATCAACTGTCTCCATCAGAGTCCCCTTTACATCAACTGCCCCCATCAGAGTCCCCCTTACATCAACTGTCTCCATCAGAGTCCCCCTTACATCAACTGCCCCCATCAGAGTCCCCCTTACATCAACTGCCCCCATCAGAGTCCCCCTTACATCAACTGCCCCCATCAGAGTCCCCCTTACATCAACTGTCCCCATCAGAGTCCCCCTTACATCAACTGCCCCCATCAGAGTGTCCCTCTCAGGTGAGCACAGCAACTACTTCTAGTGACTATAGCCTCTAGCAATAATTGCTTGCTAAAAATCTAACATGCTGGTCGTACTCAAGTGGAATGACTTGGGTACAATCAGCCTGCCCATAGATGGATCGAATCTCAGCTGGTCACTGCTGAACTGGCCAAATTCTGATCCATCTATGCCTGGCTTGATGCAACTAAATGCTACAGAAACCTAATTTACCTGAAAGGAAACGTGCAGTTATCATTGCTTTGCATAAAAAGGGATTCACAGGTAAAGATATTGTGGCTACTAAGATTGAACTTCAAGGAGAGAATTTCAATTGTTATTAAGAAGGCTTCAGAGCACCCAAGAAAGTCCAGCGAGTGCCAGGACCATCTCCTAAAGTTGTTTCAGCTGTGGGATTGGGGCACCACCAGTGCAGAGCTTGCTGAGGAATTACAGCAGGCAGGTGTGAGTGCATCTGCATGCTCAGTGAGGCGAAGACCAGGCCATCCTCCAAAAGTCTTTACAACCGTCTCCATCAGAGTCCCCCTTACATCAACTGTCTCCATCAGAGTCCCCCTTACATCAACTGTCTCCATCAGAGTCCCCCTTACATCAACTGTCCCCATCAGTGTCCCCTTACATCAACTGTCTCCATCAGAGACCCCCTTACATCAACTGCCCCCATCAGAGACCCCCTTACATCAACTGTCTCCATCAGAGTCCCCCTTACATCAACTGTCCCCATCAGAGTGTCCCTTTACATCAACTGTCTCCATCAGAGACCCTCTTACATCAACTGCCCCCATCAGAGACCCCCTTACATCAACTGTTTCCATCAGAGTCCCCCTTACATCAACTGTCTCCATCAGAGTCCCCCTTACATCAACTGTCTCCATCAGAGCCCCCCTTACATCAACTGTCTCCATCAGAGTCCCCTTTACATCAACTGTCCCCATCAGAGTGTCCCCTTACATCAACTGTCTCCATCAGAGACCCCCTTACATCAACTGTCCCCATCAGAGTGTCCCCTTACATCAACTGTCTCCATCAGAGTCCCCCTTACATCAACTGTCCCCATCAGAGTGTCCCTTTACATCAACTGTCTCCATCAGAGACCCTCTTACATCAACTGCCCCCATCAGAGACCCCCTTACATCAACTGTTTCCATCAGAGTCCCCCTTACATCAACTGTCTCCATCAGAGTCCCCCTTACATCAACTGTCTCCATCAGAGCCCCCCTTACATCAACTGTCTCCATCAGAGCCCCCCTTACATCAACTGTCTCCATCAGAGTCCCCTTTACATCAACTGTCCCCATCAGAGTGTCCCCTTACATCAACTGTCTCCATCAGAGTCCCCTTTACATCAACTGTCCCCATCAGAGTGTCCCCTTACATCAACTGTCTCCATCAGAGACCCCCTTACATCAACTGTCCCCATCAGAGTGTCCCCTTACATCAACTGTCTCCATCAGAGTCCCCCTTACATCAACTGTCCCCATCAGAGTGTCCCTTTACATCAACTGTCTCCATCAGAGACCCTCTTACATCAACTGCCCCCATCAGAGACCCCCTTACATCAACTGTTTCCATCAGAGTCCCCCTTACATCAACTGTCTCCATCAGAGTCCCCCTTACATCAACTGTCTCCATCAGAGCCCCCCTTACATCAACTGTCTCCATCAGAGACCCCCTTACATCAACTGCCCCCATCAGAGACCCCCTTACATCAACTGTCTCCATCAGAGTCCCCCTTACATCAACTGTCCCCATCAGAGTGTCCCTTTACATCAACTGTCTCCATCAGAGTCCCCCTTACATCAACTGTCTCCATCAGAGCCCCCCTTACATCAACTGTCTCCATCAGAGTCCCCTTTACATCAACTCTCCCCATCAGAGTCCCCCTTACATCAACTGTCTCCATCAGAGTCCCCCTTACATCAACTGCCCCCATCAGAGTCCTCCTTACATCAACTGTCTCCATCAGAGTCCCCCTTACATGAACTGTCCCCATCAGAGTCCCCCTTACATCAACTGCCCCCATCAGAGTGTCCCCTTACATCAACTGTCCCCATCGGAGTCCCCCTTACATCAACTGTCTCCATCGGAGTCCCCCTTACATCAACTGTCCCCATCAGAGTCCCATCAGAGTGTCCCTTTACATCAATTGTCCCCATCAGAGTCCCATCAGAGTGTCCCTTTACATCAACTGTCCCCATCAGAGTCCTCCTTACATCAACTGTCTCCATCAGAGTCCCCCTTACATCAACTGTCTCCATCAGTGTCACCCTTACATCAACTGCCCCCATCAGAGTCCTCCTTACATCAACTGCCCCCATCAGACTGTCACCTTATATCATCTGTCTTCACCAGAGTGCCCCTTACATCAACTGTTCCCATCAGAGTCCTCCTTAAATCAAATGTCCTCCTTAAATGTCCTCAGAGTCCTCCTTAAATCAAATGTCCCCATCAGAGTCCTCCTTACATCAAATGTCCCCATCAGAGTCACCCTTACATCAACTGTCCCCATCACAGTGTCCCCCTTACATCAACTGTCTCCATCAGAGTCTCTTTGGATCAAATGTCCCCATCGGATTGCCCTTTTATATCAACCCCCCCCCATCAGAGTGTCCCCTTACATCGGGTGTCCCCATCAGAGTCCCCCTTACATCAGTTGTCCCCATCAGAGTCACCCTTACATCAACTGTCCCCATCAGAGTGCCCCTTACATCAACTGTCTCCATCAGAGTGTCCCCTTACATCAACTGTCTCCATCAGAGTGCCCCCTTACATCAACTGTCCCCATGAGAGTGCCCCTTACATCAACTGTCTCCATCAGAGTCCTCCTTACATCAACTGTTCCCATCAGAGTGCCCCTTACATCAACTGCCCCATCACAGTGCCCCCCTTACATTAACTGTGTCAAAGGACTACAAGCCGGGGCGGACTGACCATTTGGAAACTCGGGCACTGCCCGTGGGCCTGGGGTCAGTAGGGGGCCCCATGAGATGACCCTGGTACCTTTTTCATAGGGTTTTTTGAGTTTGGGCCAGGACACAGGGGCCCCATGATCCCCTATTGCCCGGGGGCCCCATGAGTTGTCAGTCCGCCCCTGGCTACAAGTGTGCGGTTTCAGGAGGTTAGGATTAGAGTGCTTAGCAAAATGTTATACCTTGAACACAGGTAATATATAACATGTAACTAAAGCCAAACTTAGATTTTAAACAGTGCAAATATCTGCACATTAATAATACTCATAACTAGTAATCTGCTGCCTGGTTTTACAATTAAAAAGTCAGAGGAAAATTGTGAGCAAAACTGAGATTATGAAAGACATGGAGCACCTGGGAAGAAACCTTTTTTTTTTTTTTTTAAACGTGTCCATTACATATGTTTTTTGCATACAAAAAGTGTATTTTTGTCTTACTGAGCCTACCTTACAGAAGAAATAATTTAAAACTAACAACTGTTGAGACAATGAAGAGCTTAGTCAGGTCTATGTACACCATAATATATAGAGTGCAGTGGTCAGGAGTAAGTACCAAACTAAACAACATATGAAGTGTAGCAGTCAGGATGAGCACTATATTCATATCAGAGTTCTCCCTTACATCAAAGTCCCCAGCATTCCCCCTATAAATCAGAGTCCCCCCTTACATCCTTCAGAGTTCCCCTTTACATCAGTGCCTCTAGAGTGCCCCGTTACATCCTCCAGACTGCCCCCTTATAGCCTCATCCAGAGTGCTCACATTCTCCAGAGTGCTCCTTTACATCTTTCTCTAGAGTGTGCCCTTAGTGCCCCCTTACATTCTCTGTGTCCCCTTAGTACTACTGTGCAAACGGGGCACTCAGGAGGATGTAAGGGAGCACTCTGGAAGTACTAAGTTAGTACGTCTCGAGTGCCCCCTTACATCCTCCAGAGTGTCCCCTTATATCCTCTCTTTCATCCTTCAGAGTGCCCCCTTACATTCTCCAACATGTCCCTTTAGTGCTACTGTGTACCACCGTAGTGCCCGATTACATCCTTCTCCAGAGAGTCCCCCCTAAGTTAGTGCCACCTTATGTCCTCTTCCAGAGTGTCCCCTTAATGCCCCCTTACATCCTCCTCTTCAGGAATGCCTCTTTAAGTCCACTTTCAGAGTGCCCCCCTTATGTCCACTCCGAGAGTGCCCCCTTTACATCCTCCTCTTCCAGAGTGCACCCTTACATCCTCCTCTTCCAGAGTGCACTCTTACATCTTCCTCTTCCAAAGTGCACCCTCACATCCTCCTTGTCCAGAGTGCCCCCTTTCACATACCTTCCTGGCCTGGCCGCAATTCGCAACCAGCTGGTGGACTGCGGTAAAACACTTTTTTTTAAAAATCCTTGTTGGTGACATTGAACTGCGCATGATCAGATCCAGAGACAGCCGAATAGTAAACTGCCAAGCTCTGTCTCTATTTGTGCGGCAGGGTGTCTGAGTTTAAGCCACGGAAAGGAAAAAATGTCACCAGCACACCGAGGATCACCAATCTGGGTCCAAAAGTTTTAATGAACGATTACATAGTTATAGCAAGGCAACGTTTCGGAGTCTCGTAGGACCCCTTCATCAGACATGTGAGTATAAGCCACATCCAGCTGATCAATTCAAGATCGAGCCCAGTAGTTATCTCAGGTGAAAATAAAAGAAATAGGGCCTAAAAAAAGAAAACAAATGCAGCCATCACATCAAAGAATGTGTACGCTGCGATTTAAAAGAGAACTTTAGAGTTGGCAAAAAAAATTATTTTTTTCTCTGCTGCTTCTAAGACTGAGAACTGAGAGATCAAAGAATGTTGATTGCTCAGTAATCAGTCTTCACTGAGCAGAGAGCCAGTTGGTGTCAATCACCAGCTTTCTGACCTTCCAGCGCCCAACAGAGCACCAAACTGTGCAGGGGGCAGAAGCGACTGACTAAGGCTTTCAGCTGTGCACTGAGAGGCTGAGCCAGCCACCGATCAGGCTGGTCGGGATCTTTCTAGAGCCTGGACCAGCTTTATGACATCAGCCACCAGCTATGTGATCCATAGAGTGGGGCCAAAAAAGTTTTGGCCAAACTACTTTAACCTCCCTGGCGGTATTCCCGAGTGTAGCTCGGGGTAAAGTTTCAGTACCAAAAGCGGTAACCCCGAGCTACACTCGGGCTTACATTGCTTAGGGATTCCCTGCAGCCCTTACCTTGTCCTTCGCTCCCGCGATGCGTCCCCTGGAGCGTCCCCGGCCATCTCCTCCAGCCGATGCCGGCATCCGGCTTCCATGTTCCGGTCCCTGCGAGCGTTGGGACGTACTGGGACCAGGACCGGCGGCAAATTAAAAAATTTTTAGAAACTGTCATTTTCTAATAAACAAATTTGACATAGTAAAACATTACTGTATCAAACCATTTCACATACATTTTGTCCCTACTGCTTTGTCCTGTGCCCTGCCTGCATTTTTACTGTTCTTTCTGCCTGGAAACTTAGAAAAGTCCATGGCGTCCAAAAAGCGTCCCGTTAGGTCAAAAGCGGTTTTAGACCAGCTAGAGAACAGCGATAGTAAATCAGAACCACTTGCAGAATTGAGTGATAATGATTTGTGGGGAAATTCGTCATCAGACACTGAAAACGATTTTGCAACTTTGCTCAGCGAACTTGGCGCTATATTTCAAATTTCAGTGTTTTTGGTTTGATTATATTATTGAATTAAATGTATTATTATTATATTATTATTTTTTATGATTATTTATTATATTATAATTTATGATTTTGTGTTTCAAGTTTTATCATATCCGGAATGTTTACTAGACTCTTGTTCGGACAGATTTCAGTGAGTTTTTCCTAAAAATTACAGGCCTACAATAAAAAAAATACATATTTCCATGCTAAAAAATGTACCGCTTTCAGCACAGAAATATGGACATAATCAGACTGCTAGGGAGGTTAATAAATGCTTGGCTTTAACACCGATTTAAGCTTTATTGAAGGAAGAGTATGTTTAGGCCCCAAAACACATTACCTTTATTCTGCTATGAATCACTTTTATCATTAAATCAACTTGTTTGTTTGGTGCTCCCATTGGATTGTTTGTATGTATGTGGATTTTCAACTCTGGGTACTCTCCCTGTTTTTGGGAGTGGTCCCCATCTTGTGAAGTGCTACTGAACCAGAGCCAGTGTGCCCAGTGACAATTTCAATGATCCTTAGAAAATCTGAATCCAGCCCCCCATCTGTTCTTGTCACCCTCTGATAGATGTTCTAATTCCTCTCTACTCTATCAAGAAAAGAGTTTTGCCTTTAGTTATTATTTATAAGTGTAATTAATGGCAAAACTTTTTTCCTAGTTTTCTATTTGTCTTATTTACTGTTATCCCCAAAAAGTGAAAGAATATCCCAGATTTTGGGTTGTCATTAAAGGGGAAATCTTCCAATGGGGAGAACCAGAGATTTCCTCTCACATTCTGTTTTGGCTATATGACAGGAAGTGAAGGGAAATCTCCCGAATGGGACACAGATGGCAAACAAAACTGACTGAGGTTATAACCCTCTCTTACTCTAATCTATCCAAAATGAAAAAAAAAAAAGTTTTACCTTTGGTTCCACTTTCAAGTAACCAAGTCACTCGCTACAGGTATGTTTCTAAAGCAAAATGTATACACTCATGTATTACTTAGATTAGTTGGGTCTTCCATAATTCAGAGTTCTGTGCCTAAAGTATATGTAAACTCCCCTTGTAAAACAAAACATCCATACTGTATATTAAAAAACATTTTAAATACCTTTTCCCTTTTCAATAAGTGATCACATCTGTCTGGTCTCAGCTGCAGCTGGGGAAGGGGAAACAGCACTACATTGAACTTCCCAGTGAATGGCTGTGCAGGAAGGGGGGGAATGTCAGCACAAGCTTGATCATTGAACTAGATCCCAGCACAGCTAGAGAACTGACCACGCTGTGCTCTTACACTTGGTGCTGTCATTTTTTAATAGGAAAGCAGAAAGACTGTTAGAACACCATGTATTTCACACAAAGGAAGCAATGAAAAGAGAACAGGATACCTTTTCATACAAGTACATGGTACAGCAGGCACACATCAACATAAGAAATGTTGGGTTTACGTATTCTTTAAACTTTGTTTATATCAGGTGACTTACAGTATCTTCCTCAAGGAGCTACTAACACTCCTAATTAAATTGTCTATCCTATTAAACCTAGGGTTGCTGCGTCCTGCTAGCAACTCTGTCATATCATAAAATCTAAAGTATACCAAAAAAAACCTTACATATCTGACAGGTGCAGAGCATTTCACATTAACTCCCGTACTGAGATGATGCAGCATTTTTCAGCTTGATGAATAATTTGCAAGATTAGTTTTTAAAATTAGATCTCCATCATTCTATCAAAATTTTGGATAAAATGGCTAAGGGTTAAAAGAGATTTTTGGGGCTTTTTTTGCAGTGTGCAGTGTGCTGGAAAGATTTCTCCTCACTTCTCCCTCTGAGATATCATTGTGACTAGAGACAAATCAGCTGCATCCAGGGCATTCCCCGCCCCACAGCTGCCCTACCAAATTTGGTCAATGACATTGTCCAAATATGGCCATTTGACTACAATAGGTCAATCATGTCATGAGCACCCTCCCTTCCTGTTGTTATGTGCAGCTACAGGCTGGGGAATGCCATGGCCAATGGCCGATTGGGTGCTGATTTGATGAGAGTGAATGCTTGCTTCCAGGTTCATTTCGAACCCAAATTTGGACCAAGTCCCTACACATCCCTAATTTTGACCATATCAGGAAGTGAGTAGAAATCTCTCTAACATACACAAAAAAACAATAATACAGTTCTTCATTATACTTACCTTAATTTTCCTTACCTCACCATGGCAGCATTGATGGGTATGGCTTCAACCCTAAACCACTGTACAGCCCTTTGGTGTAGTAAATAAAAGATGCCTCACCCTTGTTCCTGCTTTCCATATGATACAATCCTACAAGAAAGAAAAGTGATGGTAAATAGTACTGCTATGGTGAAGCACCAGAAAAAGAAAACTACAGTAAGTATAATAAAGAATGATTTTCTATATTTACAGCACCTTCCCATGTCCACATTGATGGGAACTAGGTTGCGACACTAATCACAGAGAAAAAGGACAGGCGCAAAAAATGTTCATATTTTTAACTAACAATGACTTAAACAGAGGAAAGAACTGAAGTGCTAAAACATGAATCTGCACTGGCTGCCACATCCAGTTTATAATGAAACCCAAAGGTAATCTGTGAAATCTAGCAAGCTGCTTTGCAAGTGTCGTCCAGCGGAACCCAAGCCATGAATGCCCAGGGTGATGCTACACCTCTGATGGAGCATGCCAAAAACTGCAGAGGGGGGAACAATGTTGTTGACTTGGTAGCAGACCCAGATGGTCCAGAGGATCAGAGATAAAATGGTCATAGCCACCTCACCCTTTCTTGACCCCACTGATAAAACAAAGAATCTGTAAGATTGTCTTATTGAAGCTGTTTTCTGGAGATAGAGGGAGACTAAACAGACTAGATCAAGCTTGTGCCAAAGCTCCTCCAGCTAAGGCTGATATCTGCATTGTGACAATATTGTATCTATCCCCACACTTCTGGAACAATTCTAACACTTGGATAACAACCAATGGTCACATGAGGAAATATGTCCCAAACTCTATAATAAGAAGCACTGTATTCATAATCATTTTCCTGTTTTAAAGTGTAGTGATGACTGACTCCTTCTCAATCTCCAAACTGATAATCTCAATCTCTCGCCAAATCTGGATGGTTTAGATGACCCTGGGCTGAAAGATCTGTTTCCAGCAGCAGAAACCAGGGGCAGGGATGCCAGAATGGAATAATTGCTATTACCTTTGCATTCTCTCCCTTAATCTTCATGAGTTGAGAATCAACTGAGTTAGGGGAGAGATGTGAACTAATGGGAATTTTCAGGATATCAATAAGGGATCCATTGTCATTGCCCGAGGTTCCCAAGACCTAGAGATATAATGGGAGACATACATTCTGATAATGGCCAACAGATCAATGGTCTGGAAGCCTCAACATCTGAATGTCGGCTCAAATATTTTATGCTAATGGTTCATTTCTTTAGTTCTGCAAAACAGTGATTTAGGTGATCTGCTAACACATCCTCTGGGCCCAGAATGTAGCTGGCTGAGGTTGAGGCCTTAAGAGGCAAGGTTTTGCCCAAAATATAATATTATTCCCTTCAAATAATAGTGTCAACCTGCACATGTTCCCCTGTCTGGTCATATACAAAACCACAATGACACAATTCTTTGTAGCACCTCTATATTAGTCTTGTTCAAAAGAGTAGACCACACGAACAATGGGTTTAGGATATATAACCCCAGTTAACACATAAAAATAGAAAACTGGTAAAATAGGAATAATCAGTTCGCAATGTTTAACAAATCATACAGTTATGAGTAGTAAGCTTCAACTATTAAACTGAAACACCAGTAGTAAGAGGGAAAAGAAAAGGCTTGTTGACTTATCAGCTCCCTATAGGCCATGGGCATTGCACTGGGGGATGCAATGATTAATGTAAATGTATACTCCTGACATAAATAGAGATAAGCATCCTAAGTTGAATAAGAATGGCCTTAGAAGAGAGGGTCACCCTTTAACTAGAGATTGTAACTTGAGTCCTGTGATGTGTAACCACTTGCCTACAGGGCACTTATACCCCCTTCCTGCCCAGGCCAATTTTCAGCTTTCAGCGCTGTCACACTTTGAATGACAATTGCGCGGTCATGCAGCACTTTACCTATATGAAATTTTTATAATTTGTTTGAGACAGATAGAGCTTTCTTTTGGTGATATTTAATCACCTCTGGGTTTTTCATTTTTTGCTAAACAAACCAAAAACAACTGAAAATTTTGAAAAAAATTTTTTTTTCTTAGTTTCTGTTATAAAATTTTGTAAATAAGTGATTTTTCTCCTTCACTGATGTGCGCTAATGAGGCTGCAGAGATGGGCACTGATAGGCTGCAGTGATGGGCACTGATGAGGATCCACTGGTAGGTGGCACTGATGGGCATTAACAGGCATCACTGATGGGCACTGAAAGGCAGTACTCATATATGGCACTGATAGGCGGCACTGACTGGCACTGAAAGGCGGCACTGATGCGCACTGATAGGGGGCACTGACTGGCACTGATAGGCGCCACTGACTGGCACTGATAGGTGGTACTGACTGGCATTGATAGGTGGCGCTGACTGGCACTGAAAGGAAGCTCAGATGGGCACTGATATGTGGCATTGATGTGCACTGGTAGGCACTGATATGTGGCATTGATGTGGCACTGATGGGCACTGGCAGGTGGCATTGATGAGCATTGACAGCTCCCTATGATGGACACTGACAGGTGGCACTGATG